TAACAGGAAAGGCTAATACTATTCTATTTTGTAAAATCATAGCTCAGATTTCAGACACTTCTCTGGTTATGATAGTCACAACTTTGCTAAGTTTACCAACAGAACTTCTAGTTCAAGAGTTACGATATCTAAACCCATTAGTTAGATAATTTAGGAGAAAGGAAAACATTATATGCAGAAAATAGGACCTTAAAACATCAGCAATATTGCCATATAAAACCCAGAGTTTGCTTTCATTTACTCAGTCTTATGTAGTTAATTTCTATTCCACATGATTCTGGATCAGCCGCAGTCTATGAACCCATCAGCTTCTGCATAAGAGTTCTGGAAATTTTATTCAGTCTAGTCACAGTCCTTTCTGCAAGTCCAACATAGCCCATCTTTTTGTTGAGATACTTTGGTCAGCAAATCAGCAAATTATAAACTTATCTTGGGATCCCTCCTATTGGTGTTTTTCTTTTGGAGTATATCCTACATGAGCTTTTCATCTTTCATGATATTAGGGAAGTTTTCTGTCAGCAATCTTCAATGGTCCTCTTTGTGTTTTCCGTTTTCTCCCCTTGTTCTGGAACTCTGATCACATGCAGATTTTTGCTTTTGATTATATCCCATATCGTTGTCAGGGCGTATTCATTTTTCTTTGTTCTTTTCTCTGATTTTTCCTCAAACAAAGTGGTATCCAAGGATTTCTCTTCAATTTTGCTGATGCTGTCTTCCATTGTTTCAAATTTGCCCCTAAGTCTTCTATTGCAGTGTCCATTTCTGAAATCTTGTTGTCATCTTTTGGATTTCTAATTGCTGTTTTTGGATGATTTCTAGTTGTTCGTTTATCTTGAACTTTTTTTTCTGTATTATATCCTGATTTCTTCCGTTGTTTTGTCTGTCTTTTCCATGATTTTGTCTATTTTTTTCCTTATTTTTGTCTGCATTTGCCTTCATCTGATTTCTAGACTCCTGCTTCCATGGGCGTTTATTGTGGATCCAAACAAAATGAAATCCTTGACAACTTCAGTCTTTCCTCCATTTATCATGATGTTGCTTATTGGTCCAGTTGTGAGAATTTTTGTTTTCTTTTTGTTGAGTTGTATTCCACAGTGAAGGCTCTGGTCTTTGATCTTCATCACTAAGTGATTCAAGTTGTCTTCACTTTTGAAAAGCAAGGTTGTGTCATCTGCATAATGCAGGCTGTTAATTAGTCTTCCTCAAATCATGATGCCCTGTTTGTCTTCATATAATCCAGCTCCTTGGATTATTTGCTCAGCATATAGGCTAAATAAGTATGGTGAAAGGATAAAACCCTGATGCACACTTTTCCTAACTTTAAACCACACAGTATCCCCTTGTTCTGTTCGAACGAACTGCCTTTTGATCTATGTACAAGTTCCTCATGAGAACAACGAAGTGTTCTGGAATTCCCATTCATTGCAATGTTATCCATAATTTGTTATGATCCACACAGTCAAATGCCTTTGTATAGTCAATAAAACACAGGTAACGTCTTTCTGGTATTCTCTGCTTTCAGCCAAGATCCATCTGACATCAGCAATGATATCCCTTGATCCACGTCCACTTCTGAATCTGGCTTGAATTTCTGGCAGTTCCCTGTCAGTGTACTGTTGTAACCACTTATGAATGATCTCCAGAAAAATTTTACTGGTGTGTGCCACATAGATAGTGTATTCAAACCACACCATTGCCAACGTATCTTTCAATTTGAATGAACTTTTGTCCTGCTGTTTTGGACAGAAGTCTAAACAGCAATCAGAAGTGTAGTTACGTTTATATGGATTAGACCTCCTAGTGATTATAATATTACTACATAATAAATCTCACCATTTGGTTAGGACAAATGATACCATTAATATTTGGTTGTATATCCTTTAAGATTTTTTTTCTACAGCACACATGTATGCAGGCACACACACACATGCATACACACACAGTCTTAATAAAATGTATATATAATTTGTTAACATCTGTTTTCACCCATAGAGTGAACAGAAGGTAACAATACTTTTTTTGATTACCTTAAAAATGGCAAATTGTCAAAATGCTTTATCTGGTTAGTGCCGTCTAGTGGCTTGTGAGAAAAACAACAACAAAGGGGCACATTTCTCCCTGTTACTTCAAAATACACTGTCTCTATTGAGTAAATGGAGCCCTGGTGGCGCAGTGGTTAAAAGCGCGATTGCTCACTAAAAGTTTGGCAGTTTGAATCCACCATCCACTACTTGGAGAGCCTATGGGGCAGTTCTACTCTGTCCTATGGGGTCACTATGAGTTGAACTTGATGGCAATGGGTTTGGTTTTTTGGTTATTGATCAAAATGTTATGCAATATATGAAACCTGTATCCATTTTATTAGGACATTGGATACAAATATTTATGTATTTATGGAGAAAGATCATCTTGATAATCTTAACAGAATAATTGCTGCTCCCCCCCCCCATTGAATTCCCAATAAAATAGAAACCATAATTAAGGAACATATTCATCTTCTCATCTAATATAAAGTCCTTGGGTGATGCAAATGGTTTATAGTCTCAGCTGCTAACTGAAAGGTTGGAGTTTTGAGTCCACCCAGAGGAGCCTTAGAAGAAAGTCTTGGCAATCTATTTCCAAAAAATCAGCCATTGAAAACCTTGTGGAGCACAGTTCTACGCAGACATACATGGGTTTGCCATGAGTTGGAGTTTACTCGACAGCAATTGGTTACTGGTAAAGGTAACTTTAAAAATCATAAAGATTCTTAGAAGGATTCCTTTTCCACTGCAGTATTTCAGTAAGGAAGAGGATACTTTTCTTGCTAGGATTTATTCATGTAAAGATCCCAGAGTACCATATTGGTGAGGACAGAGTGACTTAGAGTCACTATCCCCAACTGGTTATGACAGTTGGTTGGAGATGAGCCTGATGTAGCCCATCAGGCCCATCAGGGGTTGCTGGCATCTGCTCTAAGGAACTTTTCCTCCTTCACACACATCTAGCAAAATCAGATTCAGCTATAATTTGATGAATTGTTTAACACCCACTCACCCTATGGGCCAGCCACTCCCTTTGGTCTTTTGTCCCTTTGTTATCCCATTCTTGTGAAAGTGAGAGTCATTCTTGTTAGATCCCTATCTAGGGTTTGTTCTGTGCAAAGGAAGTGTGGTCCTTGGTTCCACCCAGGTTCCAGGGAGTGTCTTGCTGATGGCCTCTAGCTTTATAGTAGAGAATTTATAACCCCTGTTCCCCCTCTGATCCCATGACCCAACATTCCCTCAGGAGGCTTCTGAAAAGGAGAAAGCAAATCATCAAAAATATGAGGGTGCCTGGGCCCCTGGTCCCAAGTTTGGAAGAAAGACCTGGTGATCTACTTATGAGATGTCAGCCATTGCAAACCCTGTGTAAAAAAAACAAAACAAAAAAACCCTATGGAGCACAGTTCTCTGATACACATGGGGTTGCCCTAGTCAACCTAGTGGCAACCTAGTGGCAACTGGTTTGGTTTTTTGGTTTGACCCCAGGTGGCTGCTTCTGTGGTTTCTTAGTCATCAGCTGACATTCAGAGCACATATCTGTGAGGTGTTAGAGCCCAGACATCGGGTTTTACCTCTCTGTATTATCATCCAACACCCCTATTCAGTATTTATCCTATGGTTTACAAGTAACTGATGGAGCCTGGTGGCACATTGGTTAAAGTGCTGGGCTGCTAACCAAAAGGTCAGTGGTTCAAACCCACCAGCTGCCCCTTGGGAGAAAGATGTGGCAGTCTGCTTCCATAAAGATTCCTAGCCTTGGAAACCCTATGGGACAGTTCTACTCTGTCCTATAGGGTTACTTTGAGTTGGAATCGACTCAACAGCAGTGGGTTTGGTTTTTATGTTTTACAAGTGACTGCAAATAAAACTAAATTTGACCACAATTGAAGTCATTGACTCCCGGACTAGACCTTGCTCTTGGACTAGACCTTGTCCCAGTTGGAGAAGAACTTGTGTGGATGCCAAGTGGTCCATGCACACTTCTATTTAAAATGAAGGGGCTTCTTTGTCTGTGAATTGAACCACAGATGTATCATTGTACCTCTTAGTCTCCTTTTTTGCTTTCTTGTCATAGGCCTGTCAGGTATATCCAGTGTGTGAGCCACCCTGAGCATTCATCTTGCCCTTAGATGAGTTTATCGGCATGGGGGCTTCCGATCTTGGACCGTCTGCAGATGTCGATGTGTGCTACTCAGGAGACAAGCTGGTGGAGAGCCGAAGATATTGGGGGGTCCTCTGTCATAATGCCAACACCGAGGACTGAAGTCTTTTCCCTAAAAGTCTTAAAGTAACTGATGGTATCAACATTGTTTTTATTTTGATGGCCTTACATTCAAGAAAAATGAATTATTGTATAAAGTTAGAGTGAATGTTTTGTATTAAATTGTTTCATTTTTGTGTGATGCTTTTGTGTTGTTTACATATTGGTAACATTCTTTCTATTAAAAGTGACCACACCAAGTCTCTCTTATTAGAACAGGCAAATAATGAAAAGCAAATACCCAAATTTGTCAGAAGACATTATGTTTCCACACAAATAACCTTGCCTCAGGATATATTTTTGTATTCTTCCTGTGGATAATCAAACCATAAACTCCAGGTTCTTGAGTCATGTTGGAAAAAGTGTTCTATAGGATTTAAGCTACCCCTGTGCTTATTAAGGAGCCCTGGTGGTGCATTGGTTAAGAGCTTGACTGCTAACCAAAAGGTCAGCAGTTCGAATCCACCAGGTGCTCCTTGGAAACCCTATGGGGCAGTTCTTCTCTGTCCTATAGGGTCGCTATGAGCTATGAGTTGGAATAGACTCGACAGCAACAAGCTTGGTTTGTTTGTTTGTTTGGTGCTAGGTGCATTATACTTCTTGTTCCTGTTATGGGTTGATCTGGGTCCTCCAAAAAGATATGTTGAAGCTCTCATGTCCAATACCTGTGACTGTGACCTTATTTAGAAATAGTATCTCTGCATAGGTAATCAGTTAGGTTAACATGAGAGTTTACCAGGGTAGGCTGGACACTAATCCAATGTGACTGGTGTCCTTATAAGAAGAGAAGAGACAGGGAGAATACCATGTGACCACAGAGGCCAAGATTCTATTGATGCTGTCACAAGCTAAGGAACACCTGGGGCTTCCAGAAGCTAAAGAGTCAAGGAAGGAGCATGGCCCTGCTGACACCTTGATTTTGGGCTTCTGGCCTATACAACTATGACAGAATAACTTTCTGTTGTTTTAAGCCACCCAGCTTGTGATACTTTGTTACTGTGGCCACAGGAGACTAATACAGTCTCTATCCCTTGAAGTTGGTATTATTACCCCCCATTTGTTAGATAGGAGCCCCGCTGGTGCAGTGGTTAAGTGCTTGGCTGCTAACCAAAAGGTTGGAGGTTTGAGCCCACAAGCTACTCTGCGGTAGAAAGATGTAGCAGTCTGCTTCTGTAAAGATTACAGCTTTGGAAACCCTATGGGGCAGTTCTACTTTGTCCTATATGGTTGCTATGAGTGGATCGACTCAACGACAATGGGAGTGATTTGTTGGATGCGAAAATGGAAGCTCAGAGAAATTACATCATCTGCCTAAAGCCACACACTTAGTTCAAGGTTGTTGTTAGTTGCCATCCAGTCGTGTGCAGAGTAGAACTACTCCATAGGGTTTTCAAGGCTGTGACCTTTTGGAAGCAGATCACCAGGCCTGTATCCTGAGGTGCATCTGGGTGGGTTTGAACCACCAACCGTTCAGCTGGTAGTTGAACACTTAACCCGTTTGCACCACCTGCGGACTCTTAGTTCAAGGTAGAGGCTGGATTTTAATCGTATGAGTCCAAAGTATACGTGTTCTCTCTTTCTGGGCTTATAATGCCAAGCTTAGAGTTTCTTATGTTCTTTTCTAACAAATGGATATTGGATTAAATTGCATAAAATAGACTCTGGAGTGTGATTTTTCTGGACGTCTTCAAAAAAAATATTTTTTTCCCTCCTACTTCTCATGCTCAGTGTCTTATATATATAGTAAGCAGTTAAAAATATGTGTTCCTGCTATTGGCAATCTGTGTTTTCTCCTTTTTTTACCTTTTAACTTGCTGATCTTTTTTTCTTTTTAATTGTGCTTTAGATGAAGGTTTACAAAGCAAATTAATTTCTCATTAAACAATACACATATTATTTTGTGACATTGGTTGCCAACACCACAACATGTTAACACTCTCCCTTCTTGATCTTGGGTTCCCCATTACCAGCTTTCCTGTCCCCTCCTGCTTTCTCACCCTTGCCCCTGGGCTGGTGTGCCCCTTTAGTCTTGTTTTATTTTATGGGCCTGTCTAATCTTTGGCTGAAGGATGAACCTCAGGAGTGACTTCAGTACTGAGCTAAAAGAGTGTCTGTGGGCCATACTCTCAGAGTTTCTCCAGTCTCTGTCAGACCAGTAAGTCTGGTCTGTTTTTTGTGAGTTAGAATTTTGTTCTACATTTTTATCCAGCTCTGTCCAGAACCCTCTATTGTGATCCCTGCCAGAGCAGTCAATGGTGGTAGGCAGGCACCATCTAGTTGTGCTGGACTCAGTCTGGTGGAGGCTGTGGTACTTGTGGTCTATTAGTCCTTTGGACTAATCTTTCCCTTGTATCTTTGGTTTTCTTTATTCTCCCTTGTTCCAGACAGGGTGGGACCAGTGGAGTATTTTAGATGGCCACTCACAAGCTTTTAAGACCCCAGATGCTACTTACCAAAGTAAGTATACAGTATTTTCTTTATGAACTATGTTATGCCAATTGAGCTAGATGTCCACTGAGACCATGGTCCCCAGCACTCAGTGCAGTAATTCAGTCCCTCAGGGAGTTTGGATATGTCTCTGAAGCCTCCATGACCTTGCCTTGGTCAAATTGTGCTGGCTTCCCCAGTAGTGTGTACTGTCTTACCCTTCACCAGAGTTACCACTTATCTATGGTCTAGTTAGTTTTTTTCTATCCCCACCCCTCTCCTCCCTTGTAACCCTTTAACTGCTCCCCTCCCTTGTGATCCTTGTTTTTTCTTTCTTGATTAGTCTTGCTGGTTTATCAATTTTATTATTCTTTCAAAGAACCAGCCTTTATTTTTGTTGATTTTCTCATTTTATTTCATTTATTTTTGATCTTTATTATTTTCATCCTTCTAATTTTTTTGGGCTTTTAACTTCAGTTTCCTGAGATGGAATTTCAGATTGCTGGTTTTTCAGCCCTTTTTTTTTGTGTGTGTGTGTGCATACATTTTAGAACTATGAGTTTTCCTCTGAGTGCTGCTTTAGCTACAGCTTATAAATTTTGGTGCCTCTTCATTTTTTATTCAGTTAAAAATATTTTCTAATTTACATTGTTGTTTAGAAAATGTGTTGCTTAATTTTTAAACATTGGGAGACATTCTAGTTGTTTTTTAAAATATATATGTGCTGAAAGAAGAACTAATAAACTCATTTGAGACTCCTTCAGGGAACTAAAGGGGTCCTGGTGGAGCAGTGGTTAAAGAACATGGCTGCTAACCAAAAGGTCATAGGTTCAAACCCATCAGCTGCTCCATGGGAGAAAGATGTGTCAGTCTGCTTGCTTAAAGATTACAGCCTTGGAAGCCCTATGGGGAAGTTCTCCTCTGTTGTATAGGGTTGCTATGAGTTGGAATTGACTCAACAGCAATGGGTTTAGTTTGGTTTTTAGGGAACTAACTGAGTTTGTTGAAAATAGCATAAATTTTGGAGTCGGGCATTTATGGGTTCATATTTTGGTGGCATTTTGTGACCTTGACCAAAATACTTAAACTCTCTCAACCTCAGCTTCCTTGTTTCCCAAATAAGAATTATAAACTTATCACCTTAAAGTATGGTGAGGACTAAAGATGAAAAAAATCGACAGCCTAGCATGGCACCTGACATGGATGTAAGCACTCAGTCCAACACTAGCTCCTTTCTGCCTTGCCCTGATTGCTAATCCACTTAGACTGGTTTCCTTCAGGAGCCTTGCAGCTGCAGATACTGTGGTTAGTCCAGGGATTCTTCACTAGCCCCTTTCCACTTAGACACATCCTCATGGGAATTTAGTGTTGCCTGGACACAAAAATGAGTGTTTGGAAACAGTTTTCTTTTTTTTATTGTACTTTAGATGAAGGTTTACAGAACAAACTAGCCTCTCATTAAAGAGTTAGTACACATATTGTTTTATGGCATTGGTTAACAACCCCACGACATGTCAACACTCTCATTTCTCAAACTTGGGTTCCCTATTACCAACTTTCCTGTCCCCTCCTGCCTTCTCATCCTTGCTGCTGGGCTGGTGTGCTCATTTAGTCTCCTTTTGTTTTATGGGCCTGTCTAATCTTTGGCTGAAGGGTGAACCTCAGGACCAACTTCATTACTGAGCTAAAAGGGTGTCCGGGAGCCATACTCTTGGGGTTTCTCCAGTCTCTGTCAGGCCAGTAAGTCTGGTCTTTTTTTTGAGTTAGAATTTTATTCTACATTTTTCTCCAGCTCTGTCTGGGACCCTCTGTTGTGATCCCTGTCAGATCAGTCAGTGGTGGTAGGTGGGTACCATCTAGCTGTACTGGACTCAGTCTGGTAGAGGCCATGGTAGCTGTGGTCCATTAGTCCTTTGGACTAATCTTTCCTTTGTATCTTTAGTTTTCTTCATTCTCCCTTTCTCCTGAAGGGGTGAGACCCATGGAGTATCTTAGATGGCTGCCCACAGGCTTTTAAGACCCCAGATGCTACTCACCAAAGTAGAGGGTAGAACATTTTCTTTGTAAACTATGTTATGCCAATTGAGCTAGAAATTCCCCGAGATCATGGTCCCCACAGCCCTCAGCTCAGCAATTCGGTCCCTCAGGGAGTTTGGATGTGTCTATGGCGCTTCCATGACCTTGCCTTGTACAAGTTGTGCTGGCTTCCCCAGTATTGTGTACTGTCTTACCCTTCCCCAAAGTTACCACTTACCTATTGTCTATTTAGTGTTTTTCCATGGGACCAGTTTTGATTAAGATCAGACTTGTCCCAAGTTTCAATTAACTCCATCTGCGGAATGTCTTCAGAAACAGGTCTTTGCTAATGGACTGGGCCACCTAGTTCTTTTCCTTTCAAGCTCTTTCTACCTTATTGTTGGGCTTCACTGCTAATTTCTGGATTCTCTAATGTACCTTCCTTGTTTACCAGGATACCCCTTGAATTGGCAGACTGCTAGAAAAAATATTTTTCTTTGCATCCCCTTTCAAAGAAGAAATGGATAGAGTAGAAATCAATTTGCGAGAGGCCTCCCCCAAGCAGACTCCTGTGAGCGCTCAAGTTCAGAGCTGGGAGAAACCTTAGAGGAGCCTCGTCCAGAGGTTTTCACGTTGCACTGTGGAGGGCCCGAGGGTCTCATGGAGGCAACCAAGAGGCCACAGCGCTCTTATCTCCTTGTGCCATCTTCTGCAAGTGTAGTCACATGATGTCCCATCCCTGTTTCCTTTCTATCTGTAGTCCCAACTTTAAGTATTTTTGCCATTGATCATGCAGTCATCTCTTGCCCTATGGACTTTCTCTGGCCCAAGTATATAAATGTTCTTCTTGTTGTTTTTAGTTGCCATAGACTCAGCCCTGACTCATGGTGACCTTATGTATAACAGAATGAAACATTGCCTGGTCCTGTGCCATCTTCATGGTCGTTGGCATGTTTGGGTCCATTGTTATGGCTACAGTGTCAATCCACCTGATTGAGGAAGAAAGGCCTGGCAATCTACCTCTGAAAATTAGCCAATG